AGCTAAATAAATAAATAAATAAATAAATAGCAGATACGAGTTCGTTACCTAAATGAGTGACCCTCGCTTATATTTAATCTCTCTGATCTTTTCAGTGTGATTGGTGCGTACCAACTGCAGGTTGACTTTAACTATGTTAAACTATGGTTAACCTCTGAAGCCTCCACCCTCAGCAGTTCTCTCCAGTCCGATCTCGCTTTTCTCGACGTTTTCCGACACCTGAACGAAGCTGTCCGACTGTTGATGATCCAGCCAAAGAACAAACGGAATCGAATTGTTGTGAACGAGAATGGCCTCGATCCTGAAATGGAGTCAAACTTGAGCACAATCAGCGGTAGTTCTGTACTCTCAGGTACTTCAAGTTACGACGGTGAAACGGACTTGCTGAATAACCAAGTGATTCCCAATAAAGATCAGTGGTTAAATTTGAGGTTAAGAAAGGGAAAACCTAGAATGCCGCTTGTAATTCCAAGCTGTTTAAGAGCTTCTGAGCAAACGTAATAACATGAAATATTTTGGTCATTTACTGCTGCGGATTGCCTTACTAGATTCTCGGATGAGGAATTATGGCAGTGAAAAGAAGGTTTTCAGAGGCCGGTTGTTCAAAGCCAGGTTAGCTTAACCCTAGGTTAACCTAATATTCAAAGCAAATTTCCTGACAGCTTGTCTATAAATTTGGAAATATTTCTTCAGAGATCTTGTCTGGATCGATAGGAGTTTACTTCTCGGAGGTTTTGAAATAAACAGACATGCAAAAATACTCAAACTAATACAACAGGTTAAATTTTAACCCAGGGTTAGCGCTAACCCACCTTTGAACAACCGGCCAATTTGGAATAGCCTTCGACCACAGCTTTGACTGTGCACAAGAAACAAAAGTTATATATAGTCATAGTATTTTTAAATTTTAAGATATTGCGCAAGAAGTGTCCCACTTCGTCCCCGCTATGGATTTACATTGTAGAGGTTAAGACTTAAGATACCCTGGTTCCGGTTTATGGGTTCAGGTGATAAACACGTACCGTACATTGGGGGTACGAAATTAAGAAACCCATGATATTCCAGGGTACGAAAACCGATCCGAGAATGGTAGTTTTCGTTGTCAAGGTTCACCATGGATTTGGAAAAAAATTGTCTAGCAAATGTGCATTAATTTATTTAGGTAAGATGTTGAAGTATTTTAAAACACCCGTACCCGTTTGTCTTTTACGCGTAGACCATGGTTTACCGCGAGGAAACGGGTAGAAATTACGGGTAAACATACTGGCATCAGCAAAATGTGGTAAACAAAATGGCGACACCCGTAAACCGGAACCGGGTATCCTAACCTCTCCATTTATGGTTCTCTGCGCGCCTACAAACGCCATTAAGAATACGTCTTGTGAATAATTTATATAGCGCCTGCATGGAGACGAGGCAGAGCAATGCGCAGAATGGTGTGTAACTCAGTCTTGCTGCGCTCGGCATGAATGGTGTTGTACAGAAAAATACAAATGTACTGGAACATGATACCGAAATTATAACCAACTAATTATAATTACATGTATCAAACTGTTTCGAGCGTGGCATACTTTTTCATATATATATATGTGTTATTGGTCGATGGTGTTAAATGGTTTCCAGTACAAGACAATGGAAATTTTTTATCAGGATAACTAGTCGAACATGAAATTAATAAAACCATACGAGGTTTTTCGGAGTTCCCATTGTCTTTTTATGTTCCCAACGTCTTTGTCAAAAGGCGGCGATGATGTAATTCACCCGCCAAGCCGTTAGATGGTTTCCATTCGTGGTCATGATGGTCGCGAGCATATGTCAAGGTAGCCGATATAAAAGAAGTGTCGATGTATCTCATTCAATGATGTATCTCCACAATTTAAAATAGTTGAAACGCACAACAAAATGAAAATGACAGCCAGACTAAAACAGTGAACTCCAGAATAAATTGAGTTCACTGGCCTAAAACTAGCCTATACATCAATACATCAGACGGTTAGCACTATTTTCCATCCAGCAAACCGCCCTGTCGATTTTCTAAAGTCCTTTCTTTTTGGATTTTTATTAATTTGGTTAGGGTTGGAGTTAGGGGTAGGGTTCGGTCAGTTACATAGCCATTTAACACCTCTTCCATCAGTTCCGAAAATGACGTCGGTCCGTTTGCTGGTTGGAAATTATAGTGATAACCGTCATAGACTCGGGTTTAGGCGCGGGCAACGAAAATTAGGGAGTCGAGGTGCGGGAAAGGCGGAAATATGGGCGAGAGGTTTCTCGCTCGCATTTTCGTCTTTCCCGCACCTCGACTCCCTACGTTTTGTTGCCCGCGCCTCAACCCTTTGAAACAGGGGGACACGTGCGTTCTGAATGGTTCTAACTCGTGTTCTCTGCGTGTGTTATTCTAATTGTCGGAGAGGTTTTGTAGATGGATTCTAATCCTATTGTAACACCACTCACAAAGCTATAAACTCACGCGGTACCTGCAATATTAAGAGTTAATGTTTTCGTTATTGTATTCACGCTTGGAGTTGATACTGATGCAAAAGCCAAAAATAGACTGGCAAGACTGACATTGGAATATATGCCATCAAAGTTAATTTCTGGACGGTTTTGTTTGAATGTAAATAGTTGAAATGTTAAATTGTATTGAAAAGACTAATCATTGTTGATCTTGCGCGTATTAAACTAAGTAGTGTTTGTTTTGCTGTCAAACACTTGCTGTAAATATCAAGTGTGGACTGTGCGGTAGCTCTTCCAGGCCCGGCTGCTTTGATGGCAGCACAAAATTGAATATGCTTACCAGTATTACTTTGTTGTTGGACATCTCGTGTAATCAAGACAAACTATATATATATATATATATATATATATATATATATATATATATATATATATATATATATATATATATAGTTGTGCTTTAAAGTGTATTTATATCGAAAGTTTTCTCGCCGTACAACCAGGCCTAAAGGTTACGTGACGTATGTAGGGCTTTTTACAATTGAAAAAATAACAGTCACGAAATATACGTCACTTGAGAACAATTGTCACATTTGTTTGGACAGCCGTTCGCAGAGAAATGTTAACTAGAATAAGAGGGATACCCTGAGAACGAGGTTGACTAGAACAATCATAGCTGCAACAAGAGGTGCTATAAATATAATATATGTAGCCGGAAAAGTGATATTGGCCGTTCTGTGCGTTTTTATACGTGCGTGTACGCACGTAAAAGTTTAAATCTTTTAAAATTTTACTTGTGAAATAGCTAATTGAATAAAAGGATAGAATTTAGTTTTCTGTGTGATTTAATATGCATTTGTTGAGGTAATTAGAACTTCTATAAAATTTAGGAAGATTTAAACTTTTAGGGCGTCTTCGCGGCGTAGGTGGGCGGCATAACTGGAAGTGCGCAACGCAGAAAAGGGTTATTTGATTTTCAGTATATAAACACCAGAAAATTAAGATGGATAGGGATTCAACTACTTGAAAAATGCAAGTAAAACGTCGACTTTTTTCGAGCGAAGGCCCTCGATCGAACGTCGAAGTTTTACTTGCCTTTTTCAGTTTATTTCAGCACTCGAGATTGAAACTGAAGGGTTAATATATCGTTCTTCTCTAGGCAAGAACAAAGAGAACTACATTTGAGCGAAACAGGATGTTTATTTTGTTACTTGAAAAAGAAAGAGAATTTACTGACAGAACTCATTTCTTAGACTTTTTTGTTTTTTCTTTATTAATTTTATACATGTCTTTGGAATGATGATGATGGGACTCAATACTCGTGGACAATTCCAGTTGGTTGACGCATCTGTTTAAAATCCCTCTATTCTTTAATATACAGCCGGTATCGACCAAATTAGCGCTATGTTGAGTTTGCTACTTCCTACCCTCCCTATTACAGGCTTCCTTTTGTCCAAAACCGGCTTTTGGAGTCAAATAATTCTATTGTGAGTTTGTGATAAAATGTCTCCCACGCTATTCAAACATTGACCATGTAAAAATTTTAATTAAAAAAAACTGCGACAGGAACTAAGATTATTAATTATTTTGCCCTACGTAGTCCAATAAATGAAGAAAATACATGTAAAACTTCGCGTTAATACAACCGTTACTATGTCTATGCCACCATGGGGGCAATAGGATAAAAAACATAGATATATAAAAACCTTCAATTTGGCTATGTTGTTACCATAGCAATGTAGATGACGACAAACTGGCGGAAAAATGACACCAGTATCGGAAGAAAGACCCTCCCCAAAATTTTCATGTCATGATGAGACATTCAACACCTTGGGTACATCACGTTTCGTAGGAAGCTGTTATTTTAAGAATTGCTGTATCTGTTTATTCTCGCTGAAGGATACTTTAAACATTATAAATCCTTTCGCTACATGGCGAAATTATACGTCCTAGTATTCGCTTTGTTGTGCTTTTCAACGTGCGACTGTGCAGTTCAGAGAGTTACAAAAATAGGCAATGGCAAACTGGAATTTCCACCTATTCCAGAAGTAGACATCTCTTCGACTTTAACCTCGAAGTTTGATGGCAAAGGTTTAGAACCATGGTATGATGTTGCTAAATCCTTTGTTCACACGGTACAAAAAGATGACATTCCTTATGGTATGTTGAAATATATTTATAATTTGTGTCTTGATTTTATATGTCTCAAATTTGACCGTTTATTCAGCACATATTTATAACGTATTAATATCTGAAGACGTGCGATAATAATGCTGTGTTATTTGACATGTTTACTCGGGGTTTTTTCCCGAGCTGAGTGTCACAAGACCTTCCAGTAATTATTTATAAAGTAGCGATGTATGTTTTTACATGCAAGTTTGAAAGTAGTTTTTTTTGGGCACGCCATAAACATACGCCGTTGGGTGCTTCGGCAATAATAATCCTTGTTGTACAAAAACACTTACAGGTAAAACAGTATTTTGCTTAGAATATGCCTGTGTGTGAATGAACTTGTCGACTCTCAGCTTGCACTCAACCACAAGTTCAAAACAACAGCGCAAATATCGTACGCTTCGTTGAATGTGAAGAATCTTTCATACACTTTCTAGTTTCTATAGACAATAGTCTAGAAATTAATAAATTACGACTAGGAGAGGTGCCAACACGACATTAGAAAAAATAGCCACTAGCATCAGTTGGGAATCTGTTACAGATAAAAAAGTATATAAATATATCACCGATTCTAAGACTAAGGTCATTTACATGTAAAATTTCCTGGGGTATAAAAGTTTTGTGTATTTTAGGAGTGCTGAAAGATACCATAGTAACTACTATTAACAAATAGGAGTTGGGTGACAAGAGGTCAATTACTGTTTTATTGGGGGAGGGGGTAAATGCCTTTTACCCCCTAGATTTGTATTTTATTATTGCCTCTTCACAAGAAAATTTTCAAATGCTTTTCTCAGAGTTTTTTCTTCTGGTACTTTGGCTAAAGTTAAAAGAATGTTAAATGGATAGGTTGGGTTACAGATACATAGATGAGGAAATTAAATTTATATAGCACACTTTTTGCAACAATAAGTAATATAATTGCATGTAGGTAGCTTCTATATAAGACATTAGCTTGACTTAAGTCGTCTACTTCTGTTTTTGTTTCATAAATTTCTAACTGACATCTAAAAGCTTTTGCCTGACCAAAGACCATACAACTTAAATCTGTCTAGAATGCACAGAGAAAATTACGAAAACAATTGTTACTGCCAATTTCTCAATTTGACAGTATATTAAGACAGTTTTGTTCAGTTCACAGCAAGTGTTTAGTGGTCTCTTGAGGGGGCTGGGAATATATATATATATATATATATATTACAAAAAATGAGCATTTACAGTATGTAAAAGATAGAACTACTTATACCATACAGTATATATGATTCTTTTAGTAAATATGAATAGAAATTGTTAGCAGGAAATAAGAGTAATCATTTTTAGGTCAATACAAATATTGTAATATATACCAGCTGTATTATATTGGATTATATTGTCACTTGCATTGGAGGAAGTAAAAGCCTTGTCATGTGCATGTACATGTATTTTGAAACAAGTTGCACATGCGATGTTTGCTGTAAAGCGTTGAGATATTTATTTAATTAAACAAGATAGTTTCACCAAAAAATGTATACTATAGTTCACTAAAATTAGGATCTTGTCACTTTTGTTTACATATCTACAGTAGTCATTTGGTCTCTAGAAGGAAAACTAATTTTGTCTATGTGTGTTATGTATACAAGCAAACAAGAATTAGTTTATCTGCAGTGTCATGTTTTAAAATTAATAATTAATGTACTCTTAGTTAGTATAGAGGTTCACACATTGTAGCTTTTCAGCCATAAATTAGGTATAATATTTTTACAGTAAATGTCAGAATTTAGAACAGGCTCTTAAAAATATATAATTAGCAGCTGGCCCATTGATGTGTTAACATGTACTGTGGCCATAATATTTTACATCGGATTGGGGGTTATACAGCAGAATTTTCTCAATTCTTAAGATCCGATATAAATAATTGGTACAGTAGCTTAGAAATATTGACATTTCAGTTATGTAGTGTTTTCATATTTTATCCAAAATGGCAAAATGTTTGCAAATGGACTTAAAACTAAGCTTTTACATGCATTATGCATTACTAAAAATTATGCAAGAATCTAAGAGTCCGTTCCTTGTGCAAATAAAGTTCATTTAAGGTCTGTTGATAGAGTCTATAGTTCCCAAATTCAGTAAAATCCACTTTGCTTGTTTGTGTTATTATAAAGGACACATTGCAGGTGAATTAGTGATAAATTTCTACTATAAAAGGGAGAAGTTTAATAAGTTATTTGTAGGATTGCATCCCGAGACCAAAACGCCACCACAAACAAAAAGTATTATATATTATATAGAGACAATTTTCTTGCTCAGAACTGATAAGTTCTGTAATAAAAGAAGTTATTTCTAATTTAAAAGGCAATTTAACCAGCAATTTGTAAAATACGATCCATGTTAATTAATAATAGAATTTAAACATAAACAATTCTGAACGTATGAACTTGATTGCTCCTAAATTAATGATGAATATATCTGTTCCGTATGTCAATAGATAAAATTTACCTCTTCATGAAAGCATTTTCGCGTAAAGGATGTAAAAATTGCATGTTAAAATACTGCTTTTGTTTATTACCAGAATAAACTCATAAAATTGGAAATGCAAAACATGCTAATTTTAGTACTGAAGAATTTTGTGGCCATCTTGAGATTAGTAATTGTGTCTACAAGACCGTGTTTTTTTGAAGCTAATTTACTACTATTTTTAACAGTCCATGTCTAACAGAATCAATAAAATGTCTATCATGCGCCATCTGTGTTCAAGTTTTATATACATCCTGTATTTTCTATTTTCCTTTGTTTATTTTCTGCCTGCAGTGTTAAAGATAATTTGAAAATGATGAACCATGTCTGGCAGTGCCAGCAGCACCATCGCAGGAAATGTTCTTACAATTTGCAGGAAATTTTTGGAATGCCATATTATATCATGATTTACTTATTGTTTAATTAAGAATTCCAAAAGCATTTTGCAAGTTGTATGGACCTTTCCCCTTATAACTAAAATTTTGATCTAGACAGGTCTAGACAAAACTTTCATCACAGCTTGAAAGAGCATCACAAAATTAGTAATATTCCGAAGTTTCATTGCGAAATGTTGTAAAATGCAGATAATATAGCCCTGCGAAATTTGCAATTTTCAGTCATTTTGTATTACAAACGGAAAATTGATGCCCCAACACCCGATTGGGCTGTCAATTTCCCATGCGTAATATGAAATGACTGAAAAACGGCAAATTTCGCAAGGCTATATTATTCGCATTTTACAACATTTCGCAACGAAACTTTGGAATATTACTAATTTTGTGATGCTCTTTCAAGCTGTGATGAAATTTTTGTCCAGATCAAAATTTTAGTTACAAGGGGAAAGGTCCATTAATAATTGATTTGTGCCAAGATCGAAGTTGGTCACAATGTGTGGCGCCATACATTCTCTGAAATCTACATATGCAGGAGGTTTTATACTTGGACTTACACAGGAAATTTGTTTTTGACTTTTCTGCCAGGAGGAGAAATATATTTTCTAGGCCTGGTCATGATACACAAATACATTTTTTTCTACATCTTGCAATGCAATTTTTAACACAGTGCACTATTAGGGGTGCACCGGAACTCGGTTCCGGCCGGAACCCCGACTTTTTAGAGTTCCGGTTCCTGCCGGAACTAGTAAAAAAAGCATGGCCGGAACCGGAACTCTGTCGTTTTCAGGGAGATAGAATATCAAACGTTTTTGTGTCTAACAAAAGGTCACAGTAGGAAGAAAGTTGGACTACGCAAGGGAAATGTAGACTATTAACACTTCATTATGACGTTTAACGTTTGTCAGTCTTTTTATTCTGACATTTGCGAACTCTCTACTTGATGATTTGCAGCGGACAAAGTAACATATGACTATATATGGCTTAATAAATTAGTTCCGGTTCCGGCCGGAACCGGTTCCGGCTGGAACTTAAAAAAACGGTTCCGGTGCATCCCTAGCACTATTACCATGAAGAAAAATAATCGGCAGAAAAACGTGCCTGACTTGCAGGGGAAATCCATAGGAAGCAATATAAAGTTGGCAGATTAGACATCTTAGGGCCTACTATATATGATCCTGCTTGTAATATCAATTCTATTGATAGTTTATATGATCTTCCCTTTATCTCTTGTCGGCAGGATACCTTCCATATAACATTTCTCTGTCTATGAAATTGCAGGATGCATAAAAACGTTGCCTTGTGTAACATGGTCACATTTTTTTTCACGCTCATCACATGACACATTTTAAATATTTTCTAGATGATATCGAGAAAATGAAAGATGGCGGTTTTGAAGTGGAAGAGGTTTGTTTTTGCATGATTCATGCAAAAGTTTCCTTTTTTGAACATATCATACTTAAGGATAGTGCACTCTCTATGATACCACAATTTGATCCCATTCATTATTTTCCTTGCGCGTTGTTTCGTACATGTGTACAGTCCCGAATTCATGTGGTCCCAATATCAATTCTGCTCTCCTTCCTCCACAATATGCTCTCAAACAAAGTTATTTTTCCTCAACCTGGTCTACTTTATAGCCTGGTTATTTTCGAGTTATGTTGTTGAAGAATGAAAGCAGTGATACAGTTATCACTTATTTACTGAGAACGAGGGAAACAGTGTGTTTTGTGGACCCGAGACTGTCGATGTTTCCCGAGGCGAAGCCGAGGGAAACATCGACGGTCGAGGGTCCACAAAACACACTGCTTTCCCAAGGTGTCAGTAAATAAGTGTTTTATTATATAGCAATAGTCAAAGAAACAACAAATTAACCCATTGAGTCGCATTGTGCCCTGATGCGCCCCACTTTATTATTTTACTCTGTCTCACGCCAGACGATTTTTTCTCATCAAGAGGAGACCGCTGGCGCTCAATGGGTTAACTGGCCTATCTGATCATGTGTCTAGTTAACCCATTGAGTCGCATTGCGACCTGATGCGCCCCATTTTATTATTTTACTCTGCCCAACGCCTGACATTTTACTCGTCAAGGGGAGAGCACTGGCGCTTAATGGGTTAAAGAACAAATGAACGTAAATGCATGAAATATTTTATTGTTAAAACGTTATATTAAACACTGGCTACACTGCAGTTACTTAAAGCGAAAGTTTTAATTACGTACTAGCCAATAACTAGGCATGTCCAAAGGTTGCATCTTTACGTGATGGCACACATGATTTTTTTTTGTTATTCACTGGTCGATAACGTATTATCTCCCTCTTGCGCTGTTGCGAGGGAAACAGCCTAATTTCGTCACTCTCACATGATATGTTCTCAACCAATAAAACACTAGAAAAGTACGACTTTGACTATTTATATATAATAATATAATTTGGTCACAGAGCTCAGTTGTGTTGCCATGTAATCAATATACACTATGTCTAGTTAATTTGGATGACTTAAGACTCCCTTGACGATTCCCCACAGCCGCCTTTTTGCATAACCCCCCTGGACGTACACCATTTTGAGTATTTCCCAGAGGGACTGCTTCTGTTTACGGTACTTGCTGAGTGACGAATCATGACGAATAGCGCTTACACAAAAAAACAATGGAGATGGACTTCTGTATAGTATTCTGTGACAGTACTGTGGAATAGTTCTGAAAGCTCTGACAGCATCATTTTCTTTGCAGTTTCTCAAAGGTTGGGAAATGCCATTCCTTGTTACCTTCGCGATTGGACTGTTATTTGCCCTCATTGTACCAATTGTTGGTTTTTGTTTTTGTTGCTGTCGATGCTGTGGAAATTGTGGTGGTGAAATGGTCCAAAAGACAAACAGTAAAGATGGTTGTAAACGTCTTGTCTATGGAATTGCTCTTAGTATTATTACCTTGCTTATGTTGTAAGTTGAACATACTTCTATATTAACACTAAAGAACTGCATGAGCAGCCTAGATGTTAAATTTCACTACAGGGGCCAACTTAACTACATGTAACTCTATAAGCATACATTCTTCACAAATTACATGTAGAAGAGTTTTTGGTCTTTTTTGTTTTAGTGTTGGTTGTCTAATGGCGTTTGTGTCTAACGATCGCATCACAGACACTGTGGAGAGCTATAAAGCGACACCAATCAGTGCTATTCGTGATTCTGAACAATATTTTAATAGGACTCTCGATGTAAGTGGTAGTTGGCTGTCAGGAATTTAATAATTTTCATAACCATCATTTTCACCATTACCCACATTTTAGTGTAATTACGACCATACTCTAAAATTATTACCATAACTATGATATCTATCATACCACTACCATAACCATCCATACCACTACCATCAAAACTAGCACCATCATTTGCATCATAACTTGGATCATAAATGTACTATCATTACCAAAGAACTCTTCACCATCATAATTATACTACCATAGTATGCATACAAGTACAGTACCGGTACCACAATTATCATTAATACACAATGTTTATGATTCCCCCACACATAACTACCACAGAACTCCTTCCACCAACAACATCACTGCCACGATTACAGTGATCACCATCATAACTACGATTACTATCAAACAACTTGCAACACCATCATCACTACTACTACTACCATGAGTACCATGACTGCTGTATAAATACCATCATCACACAGCTACTGCCATCACTACCATGAATACCCTAATCAACAACCAACCTTACTACCGTTTCCACCATCACAACTAGCATCATTACTAAACAACTCCACCATCCTCACTACCATTTAAACAGTAACTACCATTGTTACTACCATGATTACCATAACAACCACCATAAATACCACCACTAGTGTACCATCATCATCTCTATCATGATTACCATAACGACCACCATAAATACCACCCTAGTGTACCATCATCATCTCTATCATGATTACCATAACAACCACCATAAATACCACCACTAGTGTACCATCATCATCTCTATCATGATTACCATAACCACCACCATAAATACCACCCTAGTGTACCATCATCATCTCTATCATGATTACCATAACAACCACCATAAATACCACCCTAGTGTACCGTCATCATCTCTATCATGATTACCATAACCACCACCATAAATACCACGACTAGTGTACCATCATCATCTCTATCATGATTACCGTAACAACCACCATAAATACCACCCTAGTGTACCATCATCATCTCTATCATGATTACCATAACCACCACCATAAATACCACCACTAGTGTACCATCATCATCTCTATCATGATTACCATAACCACCACCATAAATACCACCACTAGTGTACCATCATCATCTCTATCATGATTACCATAACCACCACCATAAATACCACCACTAGTGTACCATCATCATCTCTATCATGATTACCATAACCACCACCATAAATACCACCACTAGTGTACCATCATCATCTCTATCATGATTACCATAACAACCACCATAAATACCACCACTAGTGTACCATCATCATCTCTATCATGATTACCATAACCACCACCATAAATACCACCACTAGTGTACCATCATCATCTCTATCATGATTACCATAACAACCACCATAAATACCACCACTAGTGTACCATCATCATCTCTATCATGATTACCATAACAACCACCATAAATACCACCACTAGTGTACCATCATCATCTCTATCATGATTACCATAACAACGACCATAAATACCACCACATAGTGTACCATAATGTGATTGTTTATGTGTTTTTATGTGAACAATTATGCTATGGTGAACAGTTATTCTATAGTCATGTTTTTGTGGAATTTGTTGCTTAGTTAGTTACACGACCACATCAGCTATGCTGTAAAATTATCGTGTTAAAATAAATACTTTTATTATTATTATTATCACTACCAATCATCACCACTACCATCACTACCAAACAATGTCAACCACTAACATCATGATCATGTTCCCATGGTTACCATGACTACCTCCATACCTACCATCACTGTCACATGACACCATCATCACTACCACATGATCACTATAGTATCTTGACCATGAGAACCCAGACAATCTGCTTGCATCACCATCATCATTGTCAACACCACTTTAATCGCCACAACCACCTTTAAAACCCGGTACCAACACACAAACACCACCATTATTTTGCTAATAATTTGCTTCAGGTGGTGACAGGAACTGTAATCAACAATGTAGTGGATGTTCTTGACATTATCGTCGACGATGTTATAAAACTACCGGGAGAGATTGCAAATAAAATACTGACACAACTGTCGGATACTGTGCGAGTACCACTTAACAGTGTGGTCAAACTTGGAAATGGTTAGTGTACAATTCTGTCGTGGACATGTTTACGCTCAAATTGTTGAATCTGGCGACAAAAGTTTTTGAAAAAGAGCAGTTTTATTTATTTACCAAAGCTTCCAATCCCGGTAAAGCTTTGGACCCCGGTCAATCAATATGCTTTTCCTTCGTGATACAATTTGCAGTCGCTCTTTATTCTTCATCCTAGATAAGCTCAACTATTTTAAAGTTCCGCGGGCTAACGGATTGGGAGCTTTGCCAATTAAGGGCAACAGAACTTTTTGTATTTCACATACATTCGCGGATAAAACCATAACCTCCGTGCGGAGGTACAGTAGTAAATGAATAAATAGTGAGCTTATGCAAGCGACATTTTTGTCAACACGGACTAATTTTGGCGACATTTTGCAGCACGGCGCTCGTGAAAGAAAGCAAATAACTTTAAAAATCTTATGTTTTTGTCATATGTGTTGGAGATTAGGGAGTTTACGATCTACGACGCGGCCGGCTCGACGACGCGCTTTCAAAACAAAGAAATTTGGTGTTTCCACAAACAATAGTATTATGTGTTTTATCGCCATGCAAACCTACAAAGAACTTACAAAGAAATTTGTCATGCAAGACAAAAACTGTCAATAATTTGTGGTCCCATGAGTATTGTCAAACGCGTTGTCATTCTCAACACAACGTTAAAAAAGCATTTTTACGTCTTTCAGGCAACGCGAAAGCTTAATGCGACACAAGAGGTGTTACTAAAAGTCGAAATTACAGCAAACATTGCATTGATTTAGCCGAACATAGCATTTTGTAAGGTTATTTGAAAGAGTCAAATATTTATTACAGTAATCGAATTGCTTAGCGCTCATTCTTGAGCTAAAATTTAGAGCGCGTCGTTGAGCCGGCCGCGTCGCAGATCGTAAACTCCCTATTATCACAAACTGACACAAAGACAATTTTTAATCCAATCTGACGTCCGTGTTGCTCCCTAATAAATAGTATATACAGTGATGTTTGTGATGTTACTCTGAGTGTGCATCCACACCAGGCAAGCTGAAAAGTTAGCTTGGCCACGGTGGGAATCGAACCCGCGACATTTGGGATACTAGTCTAATTCCTTCGATTTCAGTGTATTCTATATGATTATTTCTGTGCGTGTTGGTGTTATGTACTCAGTATCCCAAAGTTATGTACTCAGTATCCCATTGGACTAGTATCCCAAAGGTAGCGGGTTCGATTCCCACCGTGGCCAAGCTAACTTTTCAGCTTGCCCGGTGTGGATGCATACTCAGAGTAACATCACAAACATCATATTCACCTGAGTACATAACACCAACACACTCAAAAGTAATAGTATATATAGGTACATGTTTTTTTCAACAAACGATTTGTCATATTCTCTTTAGAGACGAAGCGTATGGGCGATTTGCTGAAAGAAATAAACAGCACTACAAACGAATTGCAATCAAGATTTGAAAAACTGAGTGACGATATTAATAACGTCAACACCAATTTAAGCAGGATTTGTAATCCTTCGTTATGTCCTGGCATAAACTATAATGACTCTCTAACCACTGGGGCCAACTTTTCTGCTTTACCTGATGTTCAAGAACAGTTGAATAATATTGCTGACATTAATAACGACGACTTGGCAGGGAAAGCTCTGGAGGTTTGTTTTAAGGACTCTTTCAGTTGGTCCCTCTCTGCCTTCCACCCTGTCCTGAATAATTAACAGTAACTGTATTCTGCGCACTCTAGTCGTATATGAATGATACCCGACGAGGTGCTATCACTGTATCAGTCATATACGACAAGAGTGAGTAGAATAAGTTATAACTGTTTTATTATATAGACAACTGCTGCATTTACAGACTTTTCAGTATGGCAATGCTTTGACAGTTAGTTTGGCAATCCACATGACTTGGCATAAACTGAGAAAACATTTTTTATATATTTAAGATTTTTTACATGCTTGTTTACTTTTTTTCTATAAAGAGTTTAAATTTTTCAAAAAAAAATATCCTGTTCATTTTTTCATCGTTGCTCTTTCATCATTATTTTCTCTAAAATATATTTTTTAACCAGTTAAAACATTGAAAATTTATTTTATTCTGGTTTGGTTTTTTTATAAACTATAATTTTTTTTGAAAACTTGCTTCGTAGTCCATTTTCGTCCTAAAATATTTTGATCGAAAAATTCATTAAATCGAACGAGAGTCGAGGAAAAAATGGTACATTAAAGTCTTATTGGTAGATCCCAGGCTCCGATGCATTTAAATGCAATATGCGGACAGAAAACGGAGATTTTGTTGAATTGATTTTGTTCATGTCTTGCAAAGACGTTTGAAATTCATTAAAGTTGCCATTTGAACAGTTTAATGTCACTTTTTTGGAAAAATTCAAACGATCGCATAATAAATAGTGTTAACAATCCGGGGGGTGATGGCATGATCGCATCTGATGTCTATTTTCAGAACATATAAATATTAAAATGCAGTGGTGTCAAGTAACGAAGTAAATGTACTTCGTTACTGTACTTGAGTATTATTTTTGAGAAGTGAGCATGTAACAAAGTAAACTTTTTCTGGAGTACTTTTACTTGGAACGAAGTCATTTTAAGGTTACAGAACACCTTTGAGTGTTAATTTTGACTAAAATTTTTTTATTGGTTTCCATGAAAGCATTAGACCAGTTCTACTATCTGACCAAGTTTGAACGAAAAATGTTGAAAACTCGCAGAGTTATTTAATAAAATACATTTCGCTGCAATAAGAAAAACATTGAAAATGTAATATTCAAATTCAATTTTCTCCCGAAGAATTTACGGTAATTACTGATTTTCAAACGAGTTGTGCTCCTGCGGGTTTTGACCAATTTTTCTCAAATTTTCACAGGACATAGCTAAAGACGTCAGTTTCAAAATTGTGCTCGGCTTTTCTTTAATTTTCGAAATTTTGATAATAAAGAGCAATTCACTCAAACAATTCAGAAATATATTGCAGTCGTCAAAGAAATCGCCATATCAGCGGAATGACGAAATAAACAAAAAATTCCGAACACGATTTTTTAAAACAACTATTTTACTGTATAAAAATGATATTTTCATAAATATAACTTAAAACCAGCAGGAGCATAACTCAAAAGCGTAACGGTACCGCAATTTAAGATTTTCCTGAATAATTCTTATATTATTTTATTGTTTGTTAATTTTACAACTTTACCATATTTTGCATACACTGGCGAACATTTTGTGAAAATTTGATTCAAATCGGACTGATATTGAGCGCGCAGTAGCGATTTTCCGCAAAACGCCAAAAAGGGTGTCCTGTAACCTTAAGAAGTAACGTTTTACTTCGTTATTTTCATTTTGTGTGTGGCGAAGTATTTCGTTACTTTCTAACTTTTGTTTAATTTTACGTGATTTATTTCTGATTTATTTTAATTTCGGGATGCGTGATACGACCTCTACATGCGTCTGGGATCTCTCGTTTGTGACTTACTTATAAGCATTATTTATTTGATGGATTTCTTATATCTTCAACGGAGTCTGGAAAGTAGACCATGCCGTGAAATATTGTATATTTGGTGCACGCATATAATGCGTGTGCTGTTTTGTGTCTTTTGTATGTCAATCCATTGGAGAAGTCCCCCTCCCCCTCTACACGCTACAGACAATAGTAGGATAAGGATACTTTTTACTTAAGTACGTTTTGACTCCAGTACTTTTTACTCTTACTCAAGTCGTTGTATTGTTAATTACTTCTACTTTTACTCGAGTACAATTTCAAAGTAATTTAGGCACCACTGTTAAAATCACACATTAAGATGTTATAATTTTTGGTACTGTCGCCCGTTTTTATGTGTTTTCCTGTCTTTTAAATGGAGAAAGTTACCTAAAGTCTTTATCATATAAAGTGAATTTTATTCTTATCAGTGGAGTTTGGAGCGAATTCTAATAGACTAATACTAGTAATAGATTGTGCGAATCCTATAGGATCAGTACGGAAGATCATAGACCCTTGTATTCCTTGAGTTTCGCCACAAATTATGCGATGTTTTTAAATCCAAATTCAAGATATTTGCGATTTCATCAATACAGTAGCTATACTAATGTGGTGCATATATTTCACTGAATTTACAGAGTGAGTAACCTGCAATTTATTTTTAATATTATGAACTGCTGCGGTAATATTGTTTGCACAGCCGAAATTCTTAGACAAAACAATTAAATTAAAACATGCACTATTAAAATTTGTACCCTTATTTCATTGGCTTGAAAGTAATAACTTTGCACTGTCCTTGGGATCTCTGAGTTGCTGACTTCTAGTTCTAACACCTTCTTTTCAGCCCTAAATCTTCCTAATTTGTACGACCCTTTGAATAGGTGACTTAGTTTTGTTACAATACTTTTATTTTAGGGTCTCAATGAATTTGAAAATATTGCTGAGACAATAGAAGAAAAAAGCAGATCTGCTATTGATGGTAAGTATATGAAACATTTTCGACATAAGTTGTGATTCTTATGTTGTAACCAATTTTCGCGGCGTTGTGGCATTTCGCCCAATACTATAGATTCCCTTCATTACGTTTTCGTAGCGCTTTGCATTGTGGTTACAGTAGTATCACTGATATTCAAGATGGCTTATTTTTTGTCCTGACCCGTGCAAGATCTTTTAAAAAAAGCTAGGGTCAGGTGCGCGATAGCCAACAGCGAAATATTCGCGAAAACATTCAATATTTTCATTCGAGGCCGCTATCTTTATCAGTGATACCACTATAACCACAATGCAAAGCGCTACGAAAATGTAATAATGGGAATCATCAATTGGTAATTGCATTGAAACCCCTTAAAATATGTTGTTAACCTACTGTAAGTTAAATCTTACAACAAACAATTCCACATGTTCAGTGCAAAGACTATCCAGTCGTGGTAGCCGGTTGGTCTAGGTTTTATATTAGACAGACCATATCTTTGTCATGTATATCCAATACTTCTTTTGCTCACACAGGGATGTAGCTACCGGGGTTAGGGTGTAATAAGTATTAATGTATTAATGTTCTTTACTTACAGGTATAAAAAATGAGACAGAAAATGCAAAGAACGAATTTCTGAATAACATTCAAAAAGATGTTGTTGACAAAGTGAATGAGGTACATTTAAACAACTGCATGTTGGTTAGTTCGTATCCAGAATCTAAATAGCCTTGCATAGTCTGTGTCTGAGCCACATGAAAGTATGGAGTATGGAACACGTACAAACGTTTCGACATTCCTAACCTTCCGACGAATTGCCTTCTCTTGAATAGTCAAAAGAAAATAAAGTGGTAGTTCGCTATAACCATAGACAGGGTGCAGAGGGTGTGCAACCCCCCCCCCCCCAAAAAAAAACCACCAAAAAAAACATCTCAAAATTTCATGGGGCATGGCCAATCGCATGGCCACTAGCGACTGTGCCTCCAAGATCCCTGCTGGATCTTGTTCGGCTGTGCCCCCCTTGCTCACCTCCCCTCCTGAATTTTCGTATGATTTTCGGCACTCTCCCCAGAGCAAAATCCGAAAATCGGTCTATGGCTATAACCACTGAGGCATTGTTGAGAATGCCAAATGTTGAGAAGGATTTGCAGGCTGAATTGAACTAACACAAACGATTTTTGCTGCGATTTTCTTCTGATGGATGTTAACGAGTGGATAAGTTATGAATGTTTAGATGAGGGTATATGTACTCCGAACTCATCTGCTCGTTCACATGCATCAGAAGGAGAAAATTGCCCTAGAAATCGCAGCAAAAAATTGTAAACAGGCCTTTAATTCGCTGGGGGTATGCAGTGTGACACTGCCAGTGTCTGAGTGCCCACGTCCTCAGCTTGTTATATGAATTACTATGTATAATATTTATTGCTCTTTAGCAAATACTAAACAAAACAGATGGTTGGGTGAAAGATATTGAGGATGCGTTTGAAGATCAGGTTGAACCGTACGACAGATACAGGTATTGGAATCTTTTATCTCTGGATGTAAAGGTGATGTAAAGTCCGTTCTGCGCATACCTTCTGCGCAGGCCTACATTCCAATGGTCGGGACCCGACCATTGGAATGTTGTTAATATTTCGCACCTTCCAAACTTTCTTGAATTGAATCTCTAGTCTGTATTAATTTACAAGCGTAGCGAACCAGAGGAGTGTTAAAAATTCAGTATACTGTAATATATATCTAATCATATTTTACAACTGTAGCACTGAGTTCAAAATGTAAACAAAGCGTTTGTTTACATTACGGACTTTACTGCACCTTTAAATATTTATCGCTTGCTTAAGCCACTTGCACACTTTACGATTTTTGTCGGCCGATTTATGCAGAGACGGATTTTCTTGTTTTCGTTCGGGTGTGTGTGTGTGGATAAATATCTGGGGGCGGGGTGCTGCTGCTTGCTTTGGCCGGGGCGTGGTGGCAACGCCGGGAAAGGCCAAGGAAAAAGTTTAACAAAATTTGTTTTCTAGGCTTGCATGGCGAGATCTGAGACCATAATATTGGTAATTTTACAAATTTAGTAGCAAGAATAATCAAATCTGAAACTATCAAATCAAAATATATGTAATTTGCGGGGGTGCCAAATGCCTTTGGGGGGAGGCTGCAAATCATTTCTGTGGAGGTGCGCACCCCCCCCAGAAAATCCGTGCCTGGATTTATGGTTTCGATGCGTGTTGAAATGAAAAACAGTCAGTGGTACGATCTGCTTGCTTTTCAAGCTGGGAGACCCAGCTGGGAGACCCGGATTCAATCCTTGGTTGGACCTCTAGTCAAGGTCTTAAAATAATTGAGGAGAAATAGCTACCTTTAAATTGACATCAGTAAGATGTAACTTGGTTAGACTTTCGCGTCTTAAGGAGATTAAATCGTAGGTATTTCAGATCCCCTATCAATGGGTGATTCCAGTTATAGACTAAGTTTTAATCAAGGCAGTAAAACTGCATCTTAGAATGAGAGACAGCTAGAAAGAGCGTCTTAGAATGAGTATAAAACTGCAAAGATTCGTTGCTACTGTAAATGTTGTAAAATGAAGAAAATATAGCCCTGTGAAGTTCGCAAATTTTGTATATATTTGTATTACGCGCGGTAAAAATAACCACTTTCGGCTCAAAAATGGTTATTTTCCCGCGCGTAATACAAATATATACAAAATTTGCGAACTTCACAGGGCTATATTTTCCTCATTTTACAACAATTCGCAACCAAACTTTGCAATTTTACTCATTTTAAGATGCTCCTGGCTATGGTAATGGTTTCGTTCTTCTTGTCTGGATCAAAATTTCGTCTATAGTTGAAATCAATATCATCCATTGGGCAGTAGCCTGTTGTGAAATCCACTCATCAATGAGTGAGAAACTCCGTAAACTCAAAACTCATATTCTTTGCTAAACTTACAGATACTATGCTGGCGTTGGCTTGACCTGCTTAGTTCTCATACCTGTCGTTTTATTGGCGTTGGGTTTGTTGTGTGGTATATTTGGACATGACAAAGATGTCGGACCAACAGACCGTGGAGCAATTTCCAATATGGGTGGAAACTGCTTGATGGCGTAAGTTCTTGTGTTTTGTAAGTTACAACTTACAATCTTTGAAGAAATTGCCATGTCTTAATGATTGACATCTGTTAATTGTGACATATATTCTTTCTTTAGAGCTGTTGGTTTCATGTTTATTTTCGTGTTGTTCCTCATGATTTTCACTGCAATCTGTTTCATCCTCGGGGGTCATTTCGAGAAAGCGTGTTACAGTATCAGAGAAGAAACAATCTACAGTGATGTATGTTCTTTATCATTTGTTTTTAAATTTTATTTTATTTCACAAGATTTGCCACACACAAACATAAATACCACTAAACCATTTAACAATATTACATAATTTACATACAGCACAGGCAGGCACTGACCACATGAAGAGTTGATAGGGACCTTTAGCAAGCAGGACGGCGACGGTTATTAACACAATGAAATTTATGACAGTGTAGAAAGAAAATGCATAATTAAAGGTCCCATGGGAGTTTTAGACGTCGTCCTTGCTCTGTTTACAACAGCAAACCAAAGATTTTCATGTTTTGTGTACAACGTCTGCCTTTCAAGCCGCGAGAAGTCGTCCTCGCCAAATTGGCTTAGTAGAAGTCTTCTCAAGTATAAACCTCTGTCTTAACCTTCTTAAACTGCAATAAATTGATACAACGGATAATACAAGACATGTTGTTCTTAAAGTTTAATATACTTATTTGAACGAGTTTGTTTTGGCCGTCGTTGTCGCGTTCCCGTCACCTATTTGCTAAAATCTCCAATAACGAGGGCCCAAACAATGCATCTACTGTACGTAATTATTGTCTTTGGCTAACTGTCAACAACATGTTCTTACAGAAAAAAGTGCGAGCGAAAACCATTTGTTGGCGTACCTCTCCCCCGCCCGCCCCCCTTGTTCTAGTTTCCACCTATCTTAATAGAAGTGGAGGTTTCTGACTATCGTTATTGATAGCCTCACCCCCCCTTCCCTGCTGCCCTGTCCTACCTCCCACATTTCATCATATTTTGATTTTGATCCAGTGTTTTCAAAATTCAAACTGCTGTGGTTTGTGTGAACTACGTGAAGCGGGCCCTTCGCTTTTTACATCTTTTTCAGGCAGTTCAGACACAAACCACCACAGCAGAATACTATACCTGCACTGCCCCCTTCCCCTCAAAATGAGTGTTTGAAAGTTTTCCTTTATTATTCTACAGTTTCTTGATAATCCTAAGTTTTGGAGTGGCGAATATATCTTGGCTAAAGAATTGTATAAAAATGGATCAATTGAACTGAAAATTGGAACGATTCTCTCGTAAGTGCTTAGTTGATTTCTAAGAGTATTTATGGATTCCATTGACAACGGGGGACCCCGTGAGGGAGGTGGAACCCCGTGAGGGAGGTGGAACCCTGCCTTTGACCCCAAATCGATAGGGTTCAAAATTTGAGAGGGTTCCAACAATGGACCATTCCCCCAATTAACCAAAATGTTGATCTAAACAAGTCTAGACAATTTGCCCCCAAATAGTCGCGTTCCCTTTTTTTTACGGAATTAAGATTACAATGCCTCCTCTAGTGTTATTTATAATCTCTATGGTTTTAACGGTAATTCAACTTTTTAATAGACTACATTCTCACGAGACCGGACGGATTCGAAACCCGACACGAATGGACCCTATTCCCTAATGAACAAAATTTTGATCTAGACAAGTCTAGACAAAAATTTCATCACAGCTTGAAAGAGCATCACAAAATTAGTAATATTCCAAAGTTCAGTTGCAAAATATTGTAAAATGCAGATAATATAGCCTTGTGAAGTTTACAATTTTCAGTCATTTTAGATTACAAACGGGAAATGGTTACCACTTCTGTGCGTAATACAAAAGGACTGAAAATTACAAACTTCGCAAGGCTATATTATCCGCATTTTACAACATTTTGCAACGAAACTTTGGAATATTACTAATTTTGTGATGCTCTTTCAAGCTGTGATGAAATTTTTGTTTAGGCTAGTTAAGATCAAAATTTTGGAAAAGTGGTAACCATTTCCCGTTTGTAATCTAAAATGACTGAAAATTGCAAATTTCGCAAGGCTATATTATCCGCATTTTACAACATTTCGCAACGAAACTTTGGAATATTACTAATTTTGTGATGCTCTTTCAAGCTATGATGGAATTTGTCTAGACTAGTTGAGATCAAAATTTTGGTTAATTGGGGAATGGTCCATTGGCGATCGTTCAAATTGGGGTTGTGGTAGACTCCCTTTCAACTTTGAGACTTCGTGCTGGGGTGCTGCCAAATGTAGCACTGCATCATGCTCTTGCTGTTTTGAAAAAATGGACCCCAGGAAATTTTTTTGTCCCTGGCAATTGCCCTGTCTTATTTATTGTTCGTAGTTTACGTTTATACACAGGGTAAAATAGGCTGTCCAAAATTGCGGTAACCTAATCTGGTTTACCTAAAGAAATCTAGTTACAATAAATGAAACCCTAGAAACAGTAAATGTATGTGTTTTAATCAGTCTGGATCTGGACTTGCGCAATTTGCTTCCCACCACTAGACAGAATTCACCATGCGGAGCGGAATCTGCTCGGACAAAGAAAGACTTCCGGATAACTTTAAGGCACAGTTCAGCCTCTTGAATGATGGTTTTTAAGGAGCATTACAAGCCTTTTAATTGAAAAAAACTAACTAGGAAAATCAATTAAGCATAATTCAAGATCAGTGATTTCAATGTTTTTACCATTTTACCGTTTTGAAAAAAATGCACCACATGAAAATTTTGTCCCTGGCCATGCGATTGCCCTGTCTTATTTATCGTTCGTAGTTTGCGTCTACATTATACACAGGGTAAAATAGGCTGTCCTAAATTGCGGCAACCTAACCTGGGTTACCGCCACATTACCGCAAACTTAGTTTTGCGGTAACCTAATCTGGTATACCTGAAGAAATCTAGTTACAATGTGTTTTTTGTCAGTCCGGCTCTGGACTTGTGTAATTTGTTTTCCACCACTGGACAAAATTTACCATAGGAGCGGAATCTTAAATCCGCGCGAAGCGGAATTTTTCTTTGTCTTGCGATTTCTCAGGTGGAACTAATTAGAAAAGACAAAGAGAAATTCCGCTCCGCGCGGAAAATTGCGTCTATAGTGGAAAACGGCCTAATGTACGCGCGCTCTGTGTTTAATAAGCAAGTGCGTTTCTTTTCTTCGGTACCAGTCCAGTTGCTTTAGTATTCTTGTCAGGGCCGCCGTGAGGGGGGGAATTGCCCCAGGCCCCGAGGTACTGGGGGCCCCTGAAAATTTTTTGTTGGGCCCCAGTCTTTTTTGTGTGTTAAATATTTCCGCGCAAAGGACAAGATATCTGTTTTATTGAGATAAGTACCGAAATTTTGCATAAAAAAATGAGATAAAGTCCCTGGAAAGCAATAGCAACGTACTCGTCCGGAAAAATTTTTTACTCCGGAAAATTTTTTTACCCCTAAAATAATACACTGACCGAAAACTTCCCGGCGGCGGGGGGGGGGGTTGTTCTCCGGAAACAATTTTTTCTGGAAATTTTTTTTGGGATAGGGGGCCCCCCAAAAAATATTTGCCCCGGGCCCCCGCCAACCTCTCTGCGGCACTGATTCTTGTACTGGCGATGACAACAAATTTGACGGAAATTTAAAGTATTTGTGATCATTACAGGTATATTTGTGGCCTATAGTTGGTTAATTTGCGATTTACGTGTACATCCTCAATAAACTATGAACTTTCCTGCGAGCCGGCGAGCATAATTTGGCGGTAACGCAATTTGGTTTCCGCCACATGCAATTTTGGACGCCTGTAAAATACCCACGGACGTTGTCCAAATGTGGTAGAAACACTTGCAATAAAGTTTTGAGTCCAGTTTAGTCTTGTAGCGGAGGATTTTTAGTAGAATACTAAAATTGTTTTTGTCTTCGCAGCTTATGGAATTGTTATTCCTTTGTAGATCATGTAGAAATAATGACCCGATATACGAAGCAATTCAAGGGGAAAATAAATGGGACTTAAACACTAAATTTAGTGTGAAAGATGTAAGAGCCTTAATTCTCTGTAACTATCCATTTAGTTTTAATGAAGCATGTCTCAAAAATGGCTAGTTTTTGCTTGACTCGTTTTGTATTTTTGTGCCTGCATGTGAGCAAAATTTATAACTTCACAATGTGCTTGCATGCAAAAAAAAATACACATATTTTAGGTTTTCAAAACTAAACATTGTTAAAATGTCAGGATTTTAACAATGAACCACAATAAAACTATAGAACATTTTTTATGAACGAGTTACAAACATTGTTTAAGGAAGCCAATTACAAAATATGTTAATTTTCAGTTGGTATTTTTTATATATTTTGTCTGATTTTCAAATATACTGTGCTTCTTTTGCAGAAACTTGGAAATATTGACGACAACTTGGACGACCTAGATGTTTCAGTTAAGGATGAGCCAATTTTAACTCAAGAAACTAAAGATGGTTTAAACAACCTCGGGAACTCCAGTGTGGATGATATTAACTTTGAACAGTTCTTTAACGAGGTATATTTGGTATTCATTAAAGGCACACTTCATGCAGCCTTTTGAATGATGGTTTTTAAGGCGCATTACAACCCTTTTAATTGAAAAGAACTAACTGGGAAAATCAATTAAGCTTAATTCGTAATTGATTTTCCTAGTTAGTTTTTTCAATTAAAAGGGCTGTGCTTCGTTCGCACGTATCAGTCTTTTGGTATCCAAATGCAGGCCTTAAAATATCTTTTACAGGACCGTCTGACAAAATGTCCGATGACGTTGAGTTCGGGTCGGACATATGTCCGATGACCTTCAGTTCAGTTTTGACTCGGAAATAAGTCTGAATGACACAAATTAATATCAGCACAATGTATTAATTCTGAACGGTAAATGTTGTGAAGATACTAAATAATTTGTTTCTTTCATACATATTTCCAAGCCAAAATTAACTTGCTTTCCAGAACAGCAGTATTAAAAAAGACTTCGACAACTTCAGCTCGTTTTCCACTTCACCATTTCGCTCGCCAGTCGCCGCCCCGCCCTCAACTACGTTAAGACATTTCCAGTTCACTTTTTATACAATAGTACTCTGATTTTCATTTAACATACAAGCCTCTAGTCCTGGGCTAGGGTACATTTTGATTTACGTCTGACAAAGCTACAGTTTGGTCGGACACAAATACACTTAGGTCGGACAAACAAGAAACCTCAGTTTCACTTGGGTTGGACAGAATGTCCGGTGGTTTCCTCTCTACGTCGGACAATTTAACGAATGGGTCGGACAATGTCCATGACCGACCGATATTTTAAGGCCTGCCAAATGATGAACTTTTTAAACCAATAGTCTATCATGATATAATGCTTTGGAAACTAAACAGAAGTCGTTGTGGGTGCAAGGGTCCACTTTCAATCCAAATACCTGATCTTTTAAAATTACTTTTACATTACCTAAAAGTAATGTTTGAAATTTAGTTGTGTTTTTTTTCATGAGTACATTCATTATAGCACATGGGATGAAAATCAACTAAGTCCCCTAGAAATTTACCCGAAACTATCACTCATGACAGGCCTTAAAATATCGGTCGGTTACGGACATTGTCCGACCCATTCGTGAAATTGTCCGACGTAGAAAGGAAACCACCGGACATTCTGTCCGACCAAAGTGAAACTGAGGTTTATTGTTTGTCCGACCTGAGTGTATTGGTGTCCGACCGAACTGTAGCTTTGTCCGACGGAAATCAAAATGTACCCTAGCCCAGGACTAGAGGCTTGTATGTTAAATGGAAAATCAGAGCACTATTGTATAAAAGGTCAACTGGAAATGTTGTTTTAACGTAGTCGAGCGCGGGGCGGCGAGCAAAATGGTGAAGTGGAAAACGGGCTTAAGTTGTCGAAGTCTTTTTTAATACTGCTGTTCTGGAAAGCAAGTCAATTTTGGCTTGGAAATAAGTATGAAAGGAACAAATTATTTAATATCTTTACAACATTTACCGTTTATTCATTTGTGTCATTCAGACTTATTGCCGAGTCAAAACTGAACTGAAGGTCATCGGACATATGTCCAACCCAAATTCAACGTCACCGGACATTTTGCCAGACGGCCCTGTAAAAGATACTTTAAGGCCTGCTCATGAACAAGTATTGGGGGGTGACGTGTTCCCCCCCCCCCTCCCCCGCACACACACACGGTCGCGACGGCCCTGGTCTTTGCCATTGTAAGTATATGTATGATAAGGCATAGTTGAAAAAAAAACAGTGCTAATTACGGACTGACAACTTACGAATTTTTCCCATAAAGCGAACTTTCCGCATCGTATCATATATATTGACCAAAATAATGCAATTTCCTTAGGATATTTACTATGTATTTTCCCTACACAGACACGAAAAGATGTTGTCAACAATACTCAAATTGATGAACTTCGGGTCAAGCTGAACGCAACAGGCAATGTAAGTGATAATCGAGTTTTCTAGGTTGTACCACGGTTGTACTCGCTCCGTGAACGTCGGTGGCGCAGTGATTTATTCGTTTGAGATGTCATTTCAAATCCTCCAATTCGGATTGGACTAGATTTCAAGTCTTCGCATTTGGATCCAGTCCTCGGCTTGGACTCGGACGCATAGCTCGGACGTGATCAAATTGCGCGGACTTGAAATCTAGTCCAGTCCTCATACACGGATTTGAAATATTACGTAATAATGTAATCGGTCACTGAAAAGCCCCGATGGGAGTGAGCTGAATTACCCTAAGGCCAAAAAAAAAATATGTGGGTTTCCGGTTTCTTCTTATAAAAACTTAGGTAGAGTAGGTCGGTTTTAACTTTTTTTTTTAAACTTTTTTTTTAATTTCCCGAATAAGCGGACGCCATTTTGTTTAGTCAGTGCTTCCACATCCAAAGATAAATTTCCCTAATATTGCCTCAAATTTCAATTTTCCACAAACTTTTTCCTCTAAGTGGAAACACTTACAAGTATGATCCAATAAAAAAGTTTAGGGTCGGGATTTCGACGTCGAAAAGCTAGGTAGGGTCGGGAAACCGGAAACCCACATATTTTTTTTTTGGCCTAATCACTTGCGAGAGGGTTTATTGTGATCTAAAGATCTGGGCCCAGTTGTTCAATGCTGGGTTAGTTTAACCCTGGGTTAACCTAAAATTCAAAGCAAACTTCCTGACAAACTAAAACAGCAGGTTAAATTTTAACCCAAGCTTAGCGCTAACCTACCTTTGAACAACCGGCCCCTGGGGCCGGCTGTTCAAAGGTGGGTTAGCGCTAACCCTGGGTTAAAATTTAACCTGCTGTTTTAGTTTGTGTATTTCTGCACGTCTGTTTATTTCAAAATTTCAGAGAAGGAAACTCCTATCGATTCAGACAAGATCTCTGAAGAAACATTTCCAGATTCGTAGACAAGCTGTCATGAAGTTTGCTTTGAATTTTAGGTTAACCAGGGGTTAAGCTAATCCAGCTTTGAACAACTGACCCCTGAACATTACAAGCAGTTGAACAATAAGGTTACGCAAAATATTGTGATCAGGGCAGAAAAAAAGAATTTTCTTTCTGGGAGCACAACCTGGAGACAAAAATTTCCTGTAAACCAATGGAGTATTTTTGTGCTAAATCTGCATGTGTATAAACATATAGTGTTCTAGCTGATCATGGTTTTAAATTCAAGGAATAATGTCTGTCAACCATATGTTGTTGCGCTCATGGTGGGACATGGGTGTTAAGGTTTCCTTCAAATTTTCAATAGCAAATCTTCATTCAAACGAAATTCCTGCAGCTGTTTAACATTTCCTGCGAGCAGTGCTGGCGTGCTCGCCTATTTTTTCCACCCCTGATTGTGATATTCAGTTGCAGATCAAGTTTTGCGGGCAAACGAGTTCAAATAAACTATTACCTCATTTCAGTCCAATGACTCATTATAAGCTTGCATTAGACAGAGTAAAATCCTTATCTCAGCTATGAGCATTATTTTCCTTGAGAAGTATAGTCAGACGTGTCGGGTATTAACGTGCTCTCTATATTTTTCAGGCTAGCTTGATACAAATATCAAAAGACTTAGAGGACATTCAAAATGAAGCTAAAGCAATGAAAGTTCTTTCAGTAAGTTGATTGTTTTTTGTTTATCGATGAATGTTTTTTGTTTATTGTATTTGTTTGTTTGTTTGTTTGTTTGTTTGTTTGTTTGTTTGTTTGTTTGTTTGTTTGTTTGTTTGTTTGTTTGTTTGTTTGTTTGTTTGTTTGTTTGTTTGTTTGTTTGTTTGTTTGTTTGTTTGTTTGTTTCTTAAAATGTGTACTGATAGTTTGAGAACTACCTTGGTTACACATTCTTGTTTCTTCCACGCATGCAATTAGTACCATGTCTATGAACTAACACCTCAACTATTTTTTTCAGAATGATTTGGAAAGTAACGTAGCAGAATTAAAGCAGCTTGGATCAAATATTTCGGTATTTTTTATTTTCAATTTTTCTGATTAGACTGCAATTAGATATAGTTTAAATACGATCGCTAACTTAACAAGTTTTGTGGCATCGCCATCTCAGTTTTTGAACACATGCAATTAACCAGTGGTGGACACTAGGGGGGAGGGGGGCGAGGTAGGGGTGGGGGCAAAAGCACCCCCCTCCCCTCCCCAATAATTTCTGAATGAAACTAACTAACTGTGCAACAAAACTAGAACATACAATAATTTTTCAACCAAGAACGCATTTGTAGGCTATAAATAATTAAGTTGCATGAAATTTAAGGCTAAAAAATTTAAAGGACTTTTCAAGATACCAAAGGCGATCGATCATATGTTGGCAAACTAGTTCGTCTCCCCCAATATGTTGCAAATTAAGTGTCCACCGCTTCATGCAATTAAAGCCTGGTTCACACTAGCAATTTTGTCGGCGATTTTGTGTTTCTGACGGATGCAAATGAGTGAAATCGCACACAAAAGTATAGAGTTGCTTTTCAGAGGTAAACAAATTCTTAGTCTTTTGCATATCATTCATTCGATCACATTTGCCAGGAGGAGAAAATCGCCGACAGAATAGATCTTTCCCCTTTTAAGTGAAATTTTGATCTAGACAAGTCTAGACAAAAATTTCATCACAGCTTGAAAGAGCATCACAAAATTAGTAATATTCCGAAGTTTCGTTGCGAAATGTTGTAAAATGCGGATAATATAGCCCTGCGAAGTTTGCCGTTTTTCAGTCATTTTGCATTACAAACGGGAAATTGATAATCAGATGATCAAAATGATTATCAATTTCCCATTTGTAATACAAAATGACTGAAAAACGGCAAATTTCGCAGGGCTATATTATCCGCATTTTACAATATTTCGCAACGAAACTTCGGAATATTACTAATTTTGTGATGCTCTTTCAAGCTGTGATGAAATTTTTGTCCAGACTTGTCTAGATCAAAATTTCACTCAAAAGGGGAAAGGTCTATTGCTAGTGTGAACAATGTACTATTGATCCTAATTATTACCACTATACATGCGCAATTTGTTTTCAGACTCTTGCAAATGATACATTGATAAAGGCTGTGGAAGCAGAAAGCGAGTATTCAAGTAATGTAAATGATGTTGTCAACGGGGTATGTATTGCCTTCTAGTTTGCTGAGCTAAACATGAATTTGTACGGTGCGTGTGTAATGACGTTTACGGCAAACGTCAAACCGCTAGCGAAGTTTTTGATTTTACAACTCTATTACTATAGCTTTTACACCAGTTTTGAAATATGTTAAACTTATTAAACTTGTGCTCTTTAGCAATGATTTAAGAAAGCAAATTAACCACTATATAGTCATGCCATTCACCAAAGCAGTAAATTAAGATTTGGCGTTTGAAGTTGACGTTTGGCGTATAAAAGAGACCTTAAGATTGACGTTTACGGCAAACGTCAAACCGCTAGCGAAGTTTTTGATTTTACAACTCTATTATTATAGCTTTTACACCAGTTTTGAAATATGTTAAACTTATTAAACTTGTGCTCTTTAGCAATGATTTAAGAAAGCAAATTTACCACTAGTCATGCCATTCACCAAAGCAATAAATTAAGAGTTGGCGTCTGAAGTTGACGTTTGGCGTATAAATTTCATGCTGGAACTGCAACGAGGGCTTGTAGTCGTTAAAGCATGAAATTTATACGCCAAACGTCAACTTCAAACGCCAAATCCTTAATTTATTGCTTTGGTGAATGGCATGACTAGTGGTTAATTTGCTTTCTTAAATCATTGCTAAAGAGCACAAGTTTAATAAGTTTAACATATTTCAAAACTGGTGTAAAAGCTATAATAATAGAGTTGTAAAATCAAAAACTTCGCTAGCGGTTTGACGTTTGCCGTAAACGTCAATCTTAAGGTCTCTATTTTCATGCTTTAACAACTACAAGCCCTCGTAGCAGTTCAAGCATGAAATCTATACGCCAAACGCCAACTTCAAACGCCAAATCTTAATTTACTGCTTTGGTGAATGGCATGACTAGTGGTTAATTTGCTTTCTTAAATCATTGCTAAAGAGCACAAGTTTAATAAGTTTAACATATTTCAAAACTGGTGTAAAAGCTATAATAATAGAGTTGTAAAATCAAAAACTGCGCTAGCGGTTTGACGTTTGCCGTAAACGTCAATCTTAAGGTCTCTATTA